GTGGACATCTTATTGTAATCCAAAGGGGGGCCCAGAAGAAAATCTTTGGGAACCACTGCCTTAGAGCAAGGTAGGATCCAGCTGGTGGACTGCCAACAAGATGCGGCTTGCACCGCCCAGAGTGTCCCTAGATGCTGCAGGCCCAGAGAACAAGCAGGAACAGATCAGGGAAACAGATCAGAACAGGAACCTTCACAGATCCAGGAGTCCGTAGCCCAGTCAGGGATTCTGATCAGAACAGGAACAGGCTACTTCAGGGTCCCAAGAGTCCAAAAAGAGCTTTCAGGCAGAACATTCGGATCGGAACGGGCAAGCCCAGTGGAATATCAGGGCAGGATATCAGGCAAACTACGTTACACTAAAAACTCACTATCTCCACTGAGCCAAGACAGGAACAGGGCATGCTCAGTCAATAAGAGGCAGAACATGATCAGGAAAACAGGAACACCACGAAACACCAAAACCCTCTCTCACCACTGGCCCAAAGAAAAAGGAACATGAACTAGAGATTCAACAACAAACTCAAAATTGTGATCTGGCCCAAATAGCTGGAAGTGAACCGTATATAAACAAGCAAACAATTACCTTTTACATATATATTTGAAACCAATAGGAGAACCATATATTTCATAAAATTAGACAGATTTTTATTGCATGGACATAATACAAAGGCAAACTACACTGGACAGGATGGTTTTTTCTTTCAAATCAGTTATTCTTTCTTAAACATACAACTTAGCAGACTGCATTTGCACATAATTTTTTATGGTCAGCGAATATTCAGTGTTTTGGTGGTAAATATTATAATAATTAACAATAATTAGAAATGTATTTAGAGTAACATGCAAAACAATAAAAGCACAAATGACATAAAAGCCTTTTTATATGACATTTATAGAACAATCTTTTAAACTTACAAACTGGCACTAATTATCTAATCACTATTATGAAGATATATTAAACAAATAAGATAGAACATGTAACATTTGATTTTTTTTGTTTGTTTTTAGATTAAATCAAACTACGGACAAACAAAGGTTAATCTTTGTGGGAATTGAAAAAAAATCCTGTTCACCCATCAAACTACATAAATGATAAAGGGATAAAAAACCCTTAACTTCCTCTAGCATGATAACATAACCTTCTAAGGTGTTTATAAATTTCTTTCATTTTCAGTCCATATATGATTGGATTAAATAGTGGGCTGCATATTATCACTTGCATTGTCATTAAGAAACGCACAGTCTTTGAAATATCAGACTCCAGTCTAACAACAATCACATCAGAAGTGACCAAACTAGAATAGTTGATTATAACAAACAGGTGAGGTAAACATGTCTGTGCAGCTTTTTTCCTCACTTCCCCACAACTTCTATAGGCCACTAATAGTATCATTGTGTAGGTGAATAGTATGAAAAACAACGGAAGAAGACTCATATTAAACAGAACTACTATGCCATATATCATTACTGCTCTTGAAAAAACACAAAATAATCTATTTATAGAATTATTGCAATAAATACCTCTCAAACTAAAGTTACAGAGTTTTAAATGAGTAAATATAATAATGGCCACAAAAATATGACAGGCAGGTACAAGCCAAGCTAGAAAAAGAAAAATACTCACTTTTGTTTTTCTCATGATGGTTGGATATTGCAGAGGTTTACAGATGGACACATATCTGTCATAAGCCATGGCTGCTAACAGCAAGAATTCAGAACCACTTAGGGAATAGAATAAAAAACTCTGCAAGAGACAGACTGGAAAAGTTATTATCTGTTTTTCAGATAAAACGTCTATCAAAAGCTTTGGGTAAACTGTAGTACTAAAAAGCATTGAGTTAATTAACAAAGCAGCAATAAATATATACATGGGCTCATGGAGGTTTTTGTGAATCATTATCAAATAAACAACCATTGCACTGCTGGACATGATCAAAATGTAAACAGTAAACATGAGAACAAAGTAAACATATCTGTATTTTTCAACCTCAATATGTCCATCAAGACTGATGTATGTCACATTCATTTCAGTAAGGAATGAAACCAAAAGAACAGAAATGAATAAATCAGAAAAGCAAAATGCTTTAAAGTGCTACACACGAGGAAAGAAATCTCATAGCCGCTCTCTTTCATTTACAGCAACACAATTCCAACTCCACAGTGTTTGAACCAGAGTAGGTTTTTAAAGATTCCTGCTCACCCATTAGGGATTTCAGAGATGGTTTACTGTGGAGAGATGATGCACTGAAAATTATCTTACTTCTTAATTGGTGTTATTTCTTAATAACGCAGCACTTTAAAAAAGTAAAGAACTCTTTGTTTAGATAGCATAGAAAATATTTGAGAGAAGAGGGAATTAACTTTTACCTTTTCCACTGATTTTGGACCCGGTTGATGACTCATATATTTTTTATATGACAACCTTCCCAGTAATGAAATTCATTGGAGTTATCTGAATAAGCAGTTCAGCTTCTTTAGGATAAAAAATATCAGGATTTTGATGGAGCAACGTTCTTTTCACAAAGTGATAGGAATCAAGGTAGAAGCTCACAAAGAGAATTAGTGCTTTTTACATCCCGAACAGGCCTTTTACTTAAAGTATTATTACATCAACTTCTTTTTGCAGATAAACAGCCTAAAAAGTGCCAAACAGCCTTAAATGGGCCAATACTCAAGTTGTTCTACCAGAACTATGGGGCCACCTCTTTGTTGGTTTTTTTGGAGAACTTCTGGGAGGAATAGCAGCTTCTAGGACTTTATTTCAGAATCACTTTGAGCTGTCGGGGTAGACCATTACGATAGCACAGAAAAAGCAGGGCTACAGAAGTAGTTGTACTTGTACAGGTGTAGCCCGAAATCCCTCTCCATCCTACCCAGTGTCATGGCAAGAATCATTCAAACACTGGTTTGGATTAAGATCTACCTTAATGTATAGTACACCAGTTTATAGGGTTAATGTACCAGCACACAGCTGACTTTGTCACTATGTAGGGAGATTGGGGATGTCTTTCAAATTTTTTACAATTGTCCAAATTCCTAAAAAAAAAATATTGATTGGGGAAAAAAATGCTTTAACATCAGGACCAGGCTTAAAGTCTAGATAAATAAAACAATTTACTTATCACCCTGTATCTTATTCTATTCCAAAGTTTTTATTTTATTTTGTACTCAATCAAAACTTCACCTGTATAACAAAAAGCATGGTATTGGTTGTCACACCGCAGGGTTGGTTGACCCAATGTTACAGTATCTTAAATAGACATCATGTAAGTTTTTACTGTAAGATATCTTTAAAATAGCCTTTGTGTTTGACCCTTTACTACTAAAACATCATTTGATTAGCAGAATGACACCTCTGTAGTTCTGATGCCTCTATAAACCTGTAACCTATTTCGCTGAATTCACTTCTTTTCAGAAGTTCCTGAGCTTTTTCTGCCGATGTGTCGTCAAGGGCATCAATGTTAAATGGGTCTGCCCAAGCAAACATTTAAAACGTTATACTCAAGATGGATTCTGAGGATACTCAGAAGCGACCGGCAACCAGCTCAACTCAGACAACAATGGCAACTCCACATTAGGGAAAAAAAACGGAAGCACGGACTATGAGAATGAGGAGTGCTTCAGTTCTATGTGTTGGCCACAGGAGGGAGTATTAGAAAACTCCCTAGTGTCTCTTTAATGGCAGGGAAGCAAAGACAACCAATCTTTAGTTTAACTTTTAGATATTTAATATTGCTCTAATTTTACATATGTTTCTTATTTTTAAAAGTAAGATAATTTTAGATTTCAATAAAAAAAACTTCAAAACTCACTCAAAAATCAATTAGAATTAAATTCAAACTTGTGGTGAAAATAGCTTTAAAGTGGTGAAATATCCTATTGTTTAAGTTGTTAAGTTTTAATTAGTGTTGCACCAATACCG